ATTACACTTCCTTACAGAAGAAGCCAGAAGGCTATATGTGCTTCTCAGCAAGATCTGTTATTTTTAGATAAATGCCACTGGACAAGTCACAGAAAAGATTGCCAACCATCCTGAGAAGCATGTGCAGAGACTCCAAGTTTGACCTAGAGTCACCTAAGAAGGGGAAATCTCTGTGTAAGACCCTATACATATTACTTGAAACTCATTTTAATAAAAAAAAACTGTGAATAAACATTTGGTATGTGTGCAATAAGCATTAAGGGAAAGCCACAGGAATCTGTCAGTAATCTCTTGCTTAGCATAAATTACTCCTAGCAAAAAGTCTGCCAAATGCAAAAAAAGAATTCAGAGGCACATGAAGCCCAGATCTCTGAGTCCATGGACAAGTGTCTTTGTTGTGTCCCCACTGCACCCTTACAGTGTATCTTTCTCCAATAAACTCTCTTAACTGCTTCTCTTTGTCTTGGTGAATTCTCACTGCCCAGGTTCCACCATAATTACCATATCTTATTATTTAATATATTGGTAAAGAAGTTGATTTATTACTATATCACAATTTTCCAAAATATTTTGATGGCTATAGTTCAATATATTGGTTATTTTATAATTCTATGAATTCTATTTTGTGTATCTAAAACATTATTACAGAAAGGGGTACAGAATTTTCACCAAATTGTCAGAGACAGTCATGCGTATGATACAAAAAGAGATTAAGTACCTGTGTTTAAAAAAAAAAAAAAGGACCATTGTTACCTAGGGAAAAGACAAAATTCATTTTTCATTTTTAATTAGAACTTTATAGTTACACATATTAGTTGAGTTCATTCTGACAAACTCATACATGCATGGAAATTGATTTCAATTCATAATCCCCTTGCTTGTCTTTTCTACAAAATATATTTTTGGAACCTTTGTCAAATATCAGATGGCTATAGATATGTAGATTTGTCTCTGTGTCTTCTATTATATTTCATTGGTCTTCATGTCTACTTTGATGCCTATACCATGCTGTTTTGTCACTATAACTCTGTAGTATAATTTCAGATCATGTATTGTGATGCCTCTGCTTCACTTTTTATGCTTGGTGTTGCTTTGGCTCTTCTGAGTCTCATTCTTCCAAATTAATTTAAGACTTGTTTTTCTAATTCTGTGAAGAATGTCATTGGTGTTCTGATGAGAATTGCACTGAATCTGTATATTGCTTTTGGTAGCATGGTCATTTTGACAATATTGCTTCTACCTATCCAAAAATATGGAATGTCTTTCCATCTTCTAAGGTCTTCTTCACCTTCTTCAGTGATTTACAATTTTGATTGTAGAGCTCTTTTACCTCCTTGGTTAGATTAATTTCCAGTTATTTAATTATTTTGAGGTTATTGTGAATGAGACTATTTTCCTGGTTTCTTCCTTGGCTGAGTCACTGTTGTAATAGAGGAAAGCTATTGATTTATGGTGTTGATCTCAAGTCTTCGCTATGCTGTTAAACTCATTTGTAAGCTCTAGAAGTCTTCTATGGAGTTTTTTTTTGGGGGGGAGGTATCTAGATAGTTTCATATCATCAGCTAAAAGAGATACTTTCATTTCTTCTTTTCCTATTTATATCCATTTTATTCCCTTTTCTTGCCTGATTGTTCTGACTAATGTTTCAAGGACTATATTGAATAGAGTATGAGAATGGACAGCCTTGTCTTGTTCCTAATTTTATAAGAAATGCTTTTAGTTTTTCTCTATTTAGTATGATGTTGGTTTGGGGTTTGTCATAAATGGCCTTTATGATGTTGAGGTAAGTGCCTTCAATCCCTGGTTTCTGCAGCATTTTTAACATGAATGGTTGTCAAATTTTTATCAAAGAGCTTTTTTGCATCTATTGAAATGATCATGTAAATTTTGTCCTCAATTCTGTTTAAATGACGAATTACACATATTGATTTGCATATGTTGAACCAAACTTGCATCACTGGAATGAAACCCACTTTATCATGGTATATTATCTTTTTGATGTGTTTTTTGATGCATTTTGCTAATATTTTATTAAGGATATTTGTATTGATGTTTCACAGATATTGGTCTATATATAGTTTTCTTTCATTGATGCATCTTTGTCTGGTTTGGGTATCAAAGTTATATTGGCTTCATTAAATGTATTTGGGAGTGTTTCCTCTCTTTAAATTTCATGTAATAATTTGAGAAAGACTGGTGTTATTTCTTCTATAAAGGCCTGATAGAACTCAACTGAGAATTCAAGATGGCTCCTCATCAACTTTCCAAGGCAAATTGAGATACTGAGCATGCTTTTTTTGAGCACCAGCGCACACTGAAGCCTCTGGATCACTAAGATTAAGCAGCATTTTTTATCTCAGCCTTCTCTGTACAATACTATGTCCCCGCCACCACACTTAATCTGTAGCTGCAGTGCCCCTGGGGCAACCAGGTTGGCTCTGGTGTATTCTTTGTTTATTGTACCCAAATTTCTGTATCCCTAAGCCACTTTGAATGTCCAATATTAAAATTTATGAAAATCTCTCTTTCACCCACGTCACTGAAAAGCTGCACACCCACTGATTTGGTCCCACACTGTAGTGTACCTTCGAATGCAGCTTTCCTCTACTCCACCATCTTCCAAGTCAGTCTCATTTTCTTGATGTGCAAGAATTTTATAATTATCCACCTCCTGTTTTATATTTTAAATTCTCTTTTGCCATTTCTGCCTCATTCTTCATTTTAAAAAAGCATTTAAAAACATTTGTGCTTTTTTAAGGCCTAATGCACTACAAAATCCATATTCATAGACATTCTCTCTTCCTTATGACTCTATGCAAGTTTTTTTTCTGAAATTATTTTACCAATTTATCATGTCTCTGAAATATGGGAATGCCAATTTTTCATTAAAATTAGCTAGCATTATTAGATGTATAGTTAAAAGCATATAAAATAGCATTTGTTTTGGTATTATAGTAGACAACTCGGAAAAAAACCCCTGCAAGATCTTCTACCTAAATCCCACTATCTAAATCCCAAAGGTATATACCCTTGATCATGTTACATTGCATAGCAAAAGAGATTTAATAAATTTGATTGAAGTTACTATTTAATTGTGTTAGACTTGCAATAACAAAAAGATAATAAACAACAAACATGTATTGCTCACAGTTCAAAAGTCTGGGAAGCATCATGTCAAAAGACTAACAGATTCAGTCTGTTATATAGACATATATGTGCACCTTCTCATGTGGTAGAAGGGATAAGGCAGCTCTCGGGGTTGCTTTTGTAAGCATCATTTAGAACTTTTAAGCACCTTCATATCTAATTAGCTCCCAAAGTCTGCCTCCTAATACCATCACTTTGGTGGTCAACTTTTCATCATATAAATTTGCAGCAAAGGTGGGGAACACAAATATTCAGATCATAGAAGTTACTAATAGTTTGACTTTAAGTTAATCAAAAGGGATTTTATCCAATGGGTCTAATGTAATATGTTATAAATAAAGCAATTTAGAATTATATGCTTTTTCTAGTAGCAGAAAAAGAAATTCCAAGTGTGAGAAGATATACTATTGTACTATTGTTTCCTTGAAGGGGCCATGTGTTAAGGCATATTGGTATTGGCAGCATGTAGAAGCTAAGGACAGCTCTGACTCACAGTATGCAAGGAAAGAGGGCCCTTACTCCGTCCACAAGGAACTAAATTCTGCCTTTGGCTGAATGAGTTCGGGAGTGATTTTTCACCATAGTCAGGTATATAATTTGCTTTCCAATTTCTGAGAACCTAAGCAGAAAACAAACTTGAGCTGTACAAACATCTATACTTCTGATTTATAGAATAAAAATAAATAATTTTTACATGGAGAGGTTATGGTAAGTTGTCAAACAGTAATAGAAAAATGACAAAAATGTAGAATTTTAAATTTATTAGCCAGTTTGAATATTTTCCTCTTTATATTAATTTATTAATTGTAATTATAACCTGTCCTTGTTCTGTCAAAAACATTTTTTCAAATGAAGGAGTAGAAAAATAAATGGGAACATTAACTACCAGAATGATGACCAGAAGGACTCAATAAGTACAGAATGCCTTAGTATTTGCAAGAGTACTAGGAAGTGCTTTGGAAGACATGACAACTTTAATTCTCAAATCATTCATTAATGGAAGAAATGTGTTCAAAAACCCTAAAATAAGCAAACTAAAGTTAGAAGCTCCCTTGAAGGAAAAGTGTGGGTAAAGCATTGTCCAGGTTGTGTGATTTGTAGGGTAATTAGAGGAAAGAACATTCTAGAGAAATTACCTTAGAGACTTTCAGTCTATGGAGCCAGTGCAGAAAGATCCTAATTAAATATATGAATTGACACTAATAGTGAAGTGGATTTTGAATTGCAGACTGTAACATAAAGAAAAGACGTTTTTCACATGCAAGACAAAAACTCAAAGGGACAAAAAGATTGGTTGGAGAGAACTTGACTAATTCAAAGAAAGTGGACAATAAATAATGTGGCTGAAAAGTTGAGCATGCAGAGATGATTAGATGGTGAAGACCTTAAGATGACCGTTGGTTCAATATATGTATTACTTTTTCCACCTTAAGAAGAATCCACCTTTAGAATAGATACAAATGAACCACTGGGCCAGATATAATGAGCACAGTGCTATTTATTGCACTAGTCAAGGGCATTAAAGATTCATGAAAGCTGATTTTATTTCAGACTTGCCTCCTATAGAGATGGATGGCTGGGCCGGAGACCAGACTTGCACTGACTCAGAAGGAAGACTGCTACCTTTTGAAAAGAAAATACAAAACTCCTCAAAGCATCAAAGGGTGTGGCTTAGGGTTTAGACTTGAAATTGTTTCTCACTTAATTTTAATTAGCCAGAACCAGGAAATTCTTAACTTCCTGTAACAAAGATTTATCAAGTGAGTCTTCACCTCAAACCATACTATTGGTTAATATTTACCCTTCCCAACTTGTAAAACTAGTTTTTTTTTAAATCCTTAAGTATTCTTAACTTCAGTCAGCTTACAAGTATGAAAGAGTACCTGGGATACTACTCATTTGACGAGAAATCACAAAGCAGCACAGTGGTGGTGGAGGAGTTTACATTCTCAGCAGTGTGTGATGTATCAGTAAGTTTAATTTTATTTCATGTTTGAAAGATTTTTTAATATTTGTGGTTGCCAATGAAAATTGGAAATTATTTTGAGTTGGCAATCTAATCATTTTTGCTCTTTTATTAGAGAAAATGCCATAGTAATAATACTCTATCAGGAAGCTATGCTAATGATGTTTACATTTAAGTTTTCAAAACTTAATATTAGATCAGTTTAAAATTTGATTTACTGTTGAATTTTTAATTGAAAAGTTTAATGTGACAATGAGATAATCAGAGAGGGAGAGAGAGAGAGAGAGAGAGAGAGAAAGAGAACAGAGCCAGGCATGTATTTGTAAGTTTATAGCAGTGAAATGACACAAGGAAGGAAGTGTTTCTCAAGTTTACTCAAGAGTTTAGAACATGTAATACTATTTGTGATCTTCCTAAATTGTGCATTAAATTGGTTCATGAAAAAGAAAGGAAATATCCAGATGTATAGGAAATATTGTATTTAATCCCATTCTGAAACTGATAAATATAACTGAAACTCAGAAAATAGAATTTTAATTTAAAGATGTACTTTGCTATTTAAAATTTAAAAATTAAGAAATAATATAAGAATAATTTTATACAAGCATATAAAAAGTGAGAAGCAAATATAATTGCAAGATTTTTGTAAATTAATAGATTTTGAAATCTATAGAAATATACCTTAAACATATTTTAGCCCTCATTTTCCTTTATGATCCATTCTGCATTTTTTAAAAATATTTTTTGACATTATTGAACATTAGTTATTCACCTACAAATATGAAATAAATTAGTAAAACCTACTCAGGATAATGAGGGAATTTCAGATGTTTTTTTTTAATGGTTTATAAGCAGAGTTGTTGCACTTTTTCTTCATTATTAATAAATGGATATTTGTATATAAAAATTCAATTAAACAAGTGGATTTTCAGACCACAATCTTCTTAAGAGTTAATTTTATTCTTCCCAATGATTTAAGATGTTCTCCTTTTGTGAAATTGACCAAAGTATCTTACATGCATGCATGAATATACCACAATGCATCTTACTTTTATGTATAATTATAATGCACCAATTAAAAAATAAAATAAATAGATAATACAAAATGTTTACCTTTCTACCTGCTCTTCCTTTTCCACCACAAATTAAGGTTTATTTCATTAAAAGACAAAACATCTTTCTATTTTTACTTAAAAGGATCTCTAATCCATAGGGGGGAAAATGATGATGCCATACCAATAAAAATAATTTAATTAATCCATTTTCTCTTTCACAGTTGTGCATTGACTCAAGTACTATTATGTTCCAGGAAACATTCTTGTCCTGAGGGACATGCAATAATTATGTTTCTATTAGGACTTTTCTAAATATTAATTTTGTATTACAACTAGATAAAGCTAAAATAAATCCATAAGAAAGGTAAACAGGCAAGTGTTAGTGACATAAAAGGAAGGAAACTGGGGAAATGGAGTGAAATAAAATTCTGGGAAAGGAGAAGACCTATATCTAGTTAATAGGCCTCGCAATCATTTAGGCTTGTATATTTCTGTTACCTTCTATTTCAAAATTTTCAAAACTGTCCTCTCCAGGGTCAAGATTCTTAAAAATTTCACAGTCTTACTTTCTAGTTATATAATTAGTATGTCCACATAATATATTTTTGCAATGTCAGGTTTGTTTTCCTTTTTGTGGTTCAGAGGGAAGTGAAGGGTGAAGTTGTGAGGATGGGTGCAGAGGTGTTGAAAAGCCATTTCTCCTCTTCCCATTAATAATCAGTGCTTCGGAGGGTTTTCTCCATTTGGAACACACAAACAGATCTTTATTAGTTTTTGTCACCTGAGAGTAATGTGAAGAAAATATTATCTTATTTTTTGTTGTACATGCCAGTATTGAGTACAATGCTTGGCACACATTTTAGGGAATTACTTAGTTGTTCTTCAAATTTATTTAGACTAATTTCCATTGAATAATGCATCTCCTGGTTGTTTGGGTCTCATCCATTTCACACAAATAGATTTTATACCAATTTATAGGCTACATTTTATGTAGAAATATTTTATTAATTTTCTAGAAAACCATTTTGTATTTGTAATGATGTCAATAAGCATAAATACATTGATAGCATCTAATTCTTATTTGCTTTCCTAAAAATGAGTAACTATAATATAGACTCTTAAGATGATTTCATTTCTACAATAAAGGTTGGAGTAATTTTACATTTCTCTTTTCCTCATATAGAAATATTAGAGTCTCTTTTCATATAGTAACACCCAAGAGTGAATTTTAATTTATTTTCCATATAGATTATTAAAAATCAAGATTGTTGATTTAACAACAGGCATAAAAAGATTTTATCAAGTGAAAAAGGTATCTAGTCATTTAAATCTAGAGACCAAATTTGCCATGTAAGTGAGAAACTCCCCTTATCTTTTATGATAGGGCCTTGGGTCATAGGAGTTCAGTAGTGTCAGTGTAGCACTAGATGGAAAATGAGAAGATGGACCCAAACCAAACAAGAGTAATTAATATTGCTGAAGTAGCATAATTTCAAGTTTAAAAATGCAACTGTAACTATATCAGAACATATAAATATATATATATATATGAATGTACATATGTATATTCACATATATTTTTAAATAAGACACAAACATATCTGTTTTAATTTATGATTAGGTATTTTTACAGGAAAGTGTCATGAAAATACTTTAATGTATTCATTTTTTAAATTTTTCAATAGAAATGAAGTCAGTATTACACTTATTCATATATTATAATCATTATTATCTTAGTAATAAATATCCCCCTGGATAATGTTTGCCTAGTCAAAATTGGCTCCTAAAGACAAATTCTTTTCTGCATAAACACTTTCACAATTCCTGAAATGCCATTCCATGATTAACAAACTACTCTACATGATAAATTTCTTTGTTTCATTGACTACTCCCTATAATAATCCCCTGAACAACTGAAATATAGTTCTTTCCTCAGGACATAATTTTTTTTTTGATACCAGGGATTGAACTCAGGGGCACTCAATCACTGGGCCACATCCCCATCCCTATTTTGTATTTTATTTAGAGACAGGTCTCACTGAGTTGTTTAGTGCCTCCCTGTTGCTGAAGCTGGCTTTGAACTCTCCATCCTCATGCCTCTCGATTCCCAAGCTGCTGGGAATACTGGTGTGCACCACTGTGCCTGGATCAGGATATAATTCTTTATGGCCTTCTCACATAAGTGTTTTTCATTCTCCCAAGAATTCAAGATAACTTCTTGGCTGAGTATTTGATCTTTGCTATCCTTGTCATTGACCATTACTCTCTACGGCCTTGTAAAATTATCTATTTTGAGGTTCATATAATTTTACTGTCCTTGCTCAATGTTAACCTGATAGCCCCCTGGATATGCCCCCTATTTATTAAAGACTTTTACACTTCCTTCCCAAACTCCTTTTCCACTCCAATTCCTATATTTGCCCTAGGTAGCATCAGTGCCTGTGGTAGGTACACAACAACCTAGTCATTTATTTCCTTGATGTTCTCATCTGTATAATCTATTCAAACACTACTCTCATATCCCCACCCTGTAGTTGTCATGACTGGAAATGATTCTATCTGAATCATAACTTTGGATTTCTATCACAGCTCCAAACTTCCTTCTTACAGTCTTGCTTCTAATGGTCCAGAGTTTTTAAAAACTCACTTATTCTTCTAATTTTTAAATTCCTTATATGTATCAGCTGCCACCCTAAATACACACACACACACATACACACATACACACACACATTTGTACACATATCCACACACATCTTTGTTCTCTTGTGATTCTTAGTTTCCTTATTTAAACAAATTCTTATTGGTATCATGAACTCCAATAAGTTCTCTTGCCAATTTCTCTTTCATCATTAACGCTATTCCAACTTCTCTGTCTTCCTAAAATTTCCAGTTCCCATCACCTGCTCTCTCATCTTCTACTACTTCAAAGAAATAAAGTGGTTGATCAACTAGATAAAAATGCCTTCAACTTCCTCACATCAAACCAACAAACCTATCTGCTCACATATTTACTCATATTTTCAAGAGGACCTTACAGTTGTACAAGTTTCCCCAATTTGTTAGATTGGGTCAGATGAAAATGTCAATATATGACTACTTTTTTTTCTTGATAGAGAGAATTGAGCCCACGGGTGCTTAACCACTAAGCTACATCCCCAGCCTTTTTTATTGTAATTTTTTTTTTTTTTTTTAATTTTGAGACAAGGTCTTGCTAAGTTGCCAGGCTGGCCTTGAATGTATAATCCTCCTGTCTCAGCCTCCCAAGTTGCTGGAATTACAGGTCTGTGTCACTGCACCCAGTTTATATATGACCACTTTTAAACTACATAGAAGATAAATTTCATATCAGTGAAACTAATAGTTTATAATTCATGAACATTAAAAATGCTCTGCACCCAATGCCCCTCCTAACTTCTGAAGTTAGTTTTTGTCATTTAAAGTATATTTTAAACTTTCCAAACCAGAAGAAAATAAATTTCTCTATCAACCTCACATTCATAGATGACTTGTCTCCCTCTTCCTATCCACAGGAAAACTCTAAAAGTTGTTGATACCCACTGTCCCAAGTCATTTTTTAAATTTTTTCCTGACTATATTTTTACCATATTTTTTCATTTGGATTCCTATTCAGAATTTTGAAAACAAACCCAACAAAATAGCTTCTTGTGTTCTGTTTGCAAGTGAACTAATTTTCTTCCCTAAAAGGTTTTAGCTTCTTCAAAAGGAATAAATATTTCCTAGCATCCTCCTTTTGGGGGTGACCTGAAGGTCACTGTCTAGACAGTGTCCTCACTCTCTTAAGACATATACCATGTGACCAAGGCCTGCCTCTCTCTCTCAAGGTCTGCTGGGCAGCCCCAGCAGATATCCTTGATTGCTATGGCAACCCCACACAATACTAGTGCTCTTACTTTTGACCATGCATCACTTTCATGAGCCTGGAATT